GAGAGAGAGAGAGAGAGAGAGAGAGAGAGAGTGGAAAAGAAAGGGAAACAAAACAAAAAAAGACGGAGAATGGAATAGAGATACAGAGAGAGGGGGAGGGGGGAGCAGGGCGGCAAAAATAGAGACAGAGACAAAGAGACAAAGATACATCCTGGTAGCAGACATGCATAAACTGATTTAATTGACGTTCCCTTTGTCTGTATAACAAGGTTGATTTTTAACAAATTTATTTCTATCTTCCACAGTCATGGCGACTAGAGTCTAAACGACCTGGCAGTATTAAAAAGTTTGTCTGCTCTATTATGCTTTGGGCGCCCTACAAAGTTCTTCTTTTCCACGGGTGAGTTACACTGGCTGTTCTAAAGGTAGCTTCCTGAACTGTTTCTGTGTGTTTTTTCCTGTTATTTTTTAATGTAGGTGCATATACGCTCTCATCAACACAATTTAAATCATTTAGGAGGCGGGCCTCAACTCTGCCTGTCATAGCCAACGTGGACTGAGTGAGATACAACATCCCAGCAAAAAGACCAAGATACTCGATCAAAATTTTTCCCGCTCGGGAAACGAACTCAAGTCCCCTGTGTGAGACGGCGAAGCGCCTAACCTCTACGTCATCACAGTCGTAAGTTTTCTGCTTTGACCTTGAGCGTACACGTTAGAAAACAGACTTGAGTAAAATGTTAAAACGGAGTTAATTGTACAAAGCAAAGTGAAGTTGAAGGGCTGATTAAGACAGTGTGTTGGCAAATGGAAGACGAGGTTGTGAGTGTAATACTTTATGATTAGCAGTGCAAACATAGCGCGAAGAATATGGAGTGACAGAGAGATAGACGGACGGATAAACTGACATTTGGGAAAACATGTATGAGGTAAAGAGGCTAGTAAAGGAGACAGAATCAGTCTTCAGATTCTGTGAGAGAGAAGGGGAGGGTGAGACAGACAGACAGACAGACAGACAGAGAGTCAGACAGACAGACAGACAGACAGACAGACAGGCAGACAGACAGACAGATCAGACAGATCAGAAACAGACAGACAAACAGACAGACAGACAGACAGACAAACAGATAGACAGACAGAGAGCAAGAGAGGTATTGTGTGACTAGAAGAAGGCAGAATTAGTCTCCATCTTCAGACAGAGAGAAAGAAAGAGAGAGAGAGAGAGAGAGAGAGAGAGAGTGAGAGAGAGAGAGAGAGAAAGAGAGTAAAAGTAAGAGGATGAGAGAGAAAGAGACGTGAGAATATTGTGTGAAGATGTCCCTCAGTCACACTCAGGAGAAATTGTTTTGGAACAGAGGAGAAAGTGGCCAGCCGAGTGGGGTGCTTGAGCTGACAGAGAAGGGGGTGAAAGGGAAGTGTCAGGAGGGGGAGGGGGTGACAGTGGAGAGGGGGAAAAGGTGGTGGTGGGAGGGGGGAGAGACATTATGTAGTGGTCACCACCCACTGAGAGAGGAGGGGAAGGGCC